AAAAAAAAAAACACGCCACTTGCTCTGTCGTGTGCAATTCTCTGTGTGCAGGCACATCGGCGTCCTCCTTGCCTCCATTGCACCGGTACCGCAGATATATGCATGGCGTGTGCGTGTCTCTGTGGGCGAGAGAGCGCGTGCGCAAAGGAGACGGCCCAACTGACACCAACGCGGCACGCGCGCAGAGCCCCGGCTGCTGCTATTGCCCTTGTTGTGGCTGGCGCAGTGGTACGGCACCTCCAGCGAGGCACCCGCGCACATGTCCTCCCACCACCACTACCGCCGCAGCGGCAGCAACACCGGAAAGAATGCGTTGCGCCACGGACGTCCTCGTCTCACGCAGCCGCTGGCCGGGCGTGTTGCGCAGTTGCCGCGCCACGCTACTGCTGCGGGGGTGGTGGTGGTGGTGGTCGCCGCCCTCCACAACAAGAGATGAAAACAACCGGAAGAAACGGGCGACCCACGCAGTAAATATATATATATATATATATATATAAATAAGGACGGGCCACACCGCTCATCGCTTGTTTATTTTGCGTCTTCGTGTAAATTTTTATCTCGGCCGTCGCCGTGCTGAGCCGTCGTACGTTTGTTTTCCTTTTTTTTGTTTTCGGTTTTCGTTGCGCGCCTGCAGTTCTTCGTGCGGGGGTTCTGCTGCTTCTGCTGCCGCCCACTCCCTCAATTTCCTTTTTTTTTTTTAAACAACAAAAAAAAAAAAGCCTCAAGCCGTTGTGAAGAACAACGGCAGGAGTACCTGCATGTCATCTTAGTCTCCCCTTCTCTCGCCCACCCCCCTCGCTCTGTTGCTCCCCATCACCCAAGCCACATGGCGCGGATCAGCCAAGAACAGCAACAACAACAAACAACAGCCGTGGGGGGAGTTGCCCCCACGCCTGCTGCTTCTTTCCGCTCCCTCTCTCTCTCTCTCTCTCTCTCCAGTGTCTGTTGCACCTCACATGACGAGCTGCGCCACCACGCAACTTATTCCCCCTGAAATCAGTTTCGGTCATCCTTCAGTTGCGTGTTTTTCTGCGCCCACCGCGGCCCACGACGGCGGGGGCCACCGTGCTTGCTGTTGTTGTTGTTGTTGTTGTAGTTGCTGTGGTTCTGGCTGTTGTTCTTCTTGCTATCACCGTTAGCGCCACCCTCACCTGAAGCTGCCGCATCGTCAGCGTTGTTGTTGTTGTTATTATTATTGCTGCTGCTACCTGCCGCATCAGTTACTGGCATGGCGTTCTTTACGTGCGGGTTCGTGTTCTCCATCCAAATGCGCACGCGGAACATGCGGTACAGCTCCCGGACAAGTGGACGGAAATCGATACTGTGCTCGCTGTTGAAGTAGAAGCTCACCTTCTCCATATCAAACTGGTACTCACAGTCCTGCAGGTTAATGTCGATGCCCATGTCGTTACACACCTTCTTGCATGTCTCGAGAGCCACCCGCTCCGCCCGCTGCATGGTGTTGTGCAGGTAGTCAATTTCCTCGGTCGTGGCGACCCCCAGCACGCGCCCCTTCTCCAGCTTGATCTTGTCCGCGTTGACGTGGCTGCCGTCCATGCAGAAGAGCGCAGAGGTGCCGTCCGGCAGCGTCTTCATTGTCTGCACAAGGAGGCCGCAGTCTCTACCACGGTCACCGTCCACCATGACGTACTGGCCCGGCGTGATGTCTAGGGCGCACTCGTACTTGCGCACACGGTGCCGCTTGAACTCCACAAAGGCGAGGAACTTCTGCGCATCCTCACCCTCCGCAGCAGGCTGCGGCTGCTCCACCACACGCCGTGGCGGGCCGCGGCTCCGGTTGCCCATGCTGGTGTCCAGGAGACTAGGCGCCACCTCGGCNGGTGCCGCGTACATAGCAGAGGGATCTTCGCCCGCGCCAAGCAGAGGCGCGTTTGACGCCTGATACGCCGCTGCTGCAACACCGCCGCCCCCCATGTACGGCATCATTTGGCCTGAGGGCGCCATGCCCACATCGAGGTGATTGTAACTGTGTGGATGAGGAGGTTGCTGTTGCTTCGGATGCTGCTTCATCGCCGCCCCTGCGGAACTGCCCTCCTCCACGAAGTCCATGCCGCTATTTTTGTTGAGGGCATTCCGTGTCTCCGGAAAACACCATATGGGGCGGTCGTAAAACGATGCTGCTGCCGCCGTCGCCGCCGCCGCCGCAGCGGACGCAGGGGCACCGAATAATGGCGTTCCGTTTGCGTCTGTTGGGTACTGATGCTGCTGTTGATGTTGCTGAGTGTTTGACAGGTGTGGTTGGGTGGCGGCAAGACGGTCCTTTGACGCATCTACGGCCATGTTGTGGTACGCTGTGACTCCATTGCTCATCACAGCACTGGGGGCAAATACGCCACGGAGTTGCAGCAGCCTCATTCTGTCCTCCTCCAAATGTGCTACCAATTGACTCAGAACAGCGGCAGCAGCAGGGGACGGCGTCGTGGTCTCCGCCACCTGAAGCTGAAGTGACGCCATGCCCTTGCACTCACTCAGACACGCCAGCAGCCGCTCCAGCATCACGTCACTGCCTCGAACCGCCTGCAGCGCCCCGTCCGGCATCCTTGCTTCTTCTGGCTTGGACTGTAGCGGTTGTGGTGCTGCTGCATTGAGGGGCATGGAGATGCCACCAGCCAGCTGCATTTGTTGATGTGCCAAGTGCTGCGGCATCACAGTAGCGTACGTTGCCGGCATCCCAGCGTACGCCTGGTTGGAGGAGGAGGCGGCTGCAGAGGAGAGTGCGTGTATGCGCGCCATCCCATCGCCTCGTGGGTAGACGTTACTCGAATTGTCATTGTTGCGGTTCGTGTGAAGGCCAGCAGGGGTGGATGTGCTGTATTCGGCGTGGCCGCTGCTGGGAAGGGCGGCGCCGCTGCTCTTGTCGCCACTTTGGCTACTGCTGCTACCGCTGGTGGTCACAGTTGTGGCGTCAGGTGAAGCGCTGTTGGGTGTGTGTGGCTGGACTTGCTGTTGCTGCTGCTGCTGCTGCGGCGGCCGTTGCTCGCCAGCCCACTGCCCCCCGTTCCCACCTGGGGTGAAGGGCATCGCCGATGGGCTAAAGAAGCCATCGAGAATGTCAGCGCCGCTGCTCATTCTTTAATTAATATTCCTGATTCCCCTCGTTTTCGTTTCCCTTGTTTGTTGTTTCTTTGCCTTTAAAAGAACCCCCCAAAAAGAAAGATGTTGTGGTGTTCTGCTCGTGTTGGACCCCCGCCTCGTGCTCTCCTCTCTCTCTCTCTCTATATATATATATATATATATAT